AAAGACTGGCTTTAGGTCAGTCCTGAACAGCCTCAGGGGAGCCCTTACCCCTCATGGGGACCCCTCTCCATTTCTCTTCCCCATGTACTCAAGGCTAACCATGGCCAATAATGATTTTCCACTCTCCTTTGGGGCATTGAGACTTTCCCCTTAATCAACTAGCGCCACAGACATAACTTTTCCACTTGGGCACACAGATTGTATCGGGAAATGGAGCAGCATTATTTGGCAGGGTGCACTGGATACCAACAATTCTGATATTGAAAATGAAATTTACAAAGAAATGGCTCCTACATACTTAAATACTTGGGTAATGCCATCATAATGTTACCTGAGTTTGCCAGTTTCTTTTTTTATTCTATATGTGACCAAATAATAATAATAAAAATTGGTGTGGTCTGCATACTGTAGACTAGCATCTAAATGTTATTTGGTAAAAAAAAAGGTTATTTGTCAATTTTGTTTGGTTAAAAAGGCTAACAAAAACAGTATTTGAATTTGAATCCAACATTTATACAAGTAATATGGAAAAAAAATATATATATATAATGCCATGCATAGGTTATATGATGCAAGGTATGAAGCAGTGAAAAATAGTTTTAAAAAATTATATATATAAAACCAAAGAGTCGATACATTTCATAACTCAAGAAAAACAGTTTTTCTTTTGTCCCTGCAGTATCAAAATCAAAGCAAAATAAATATTTTTTTAATAAAAGACTAAATGCCATACCTTATGTAACAAAAATGAAGTGAGGGTGTTAAAGAAACAAATCAATTTTAAAATGATTTTATTATACAGATATAAAATACTATATATATATATGCATGTTTTCCAAAAAATTACCACGTTTCTGTACGAGTCATGATAACTGTTATTATCTTCTCTGAACACAAGTTATGCAAGCAAAATTCCCTTACAAAATTAATACAAAAATAACTGGATGTCTTGTAATGGATCTGTGAAATTGTGAACTTCTGCTCAAAAGTAGTCACACCATTTGGCTGTGTGGAATGAATATGAATAATAAAATGCGTGGTTTTTTGGGGGGCATTACAGAAATATACCCTACAATATTCATGTAGCTGCAACAGATCATAATGAGTATATATATTTTTTTTCTTATAACAACTTCTACTAAAGTTCATATATATATATGTATAAACTGCATATGTACTATCTTATTATTTTCTTCTTACATGAAGTGAATGCCGTACATAGGCTAAATGATGTTGCATGGAATGAAGTTGTGAAAAATGGTCTCTATAAAAATAACCTTTTCATATCCAGTTCTACATCAGTATAAATTTTAACAACTGACAACACCTGTAATAACTTCCAAAAGTCTTAACACTTTATATTTCTTATTTCAATCATTTTTCATTTCACTATACTTTGTCATTATTACAATACAAAAACACTTAAAAGCACAAACAGAATTAATTCACGATGGACGCTTTTTACACATCTAATGTTCAAATATTTGAATACCTTCTCAAGTACAGAATCATGAACAGAAAAAAAAAATCCAGTTAGTACATAGGTACAGTTAAATGTAATACACAAAATATAGCAAATATCTTCACTGAAACTAGAACTGCAATAAGGATTCAGGGATCTAGCATTTAGTATAATGTTCAAGCATATGTCAACATCTAGCAGACTTGTTAAGGAAGCTGTATTTTGAAAGGAAGTATCTATATGTACTATTAAGAGAAGAAACTGTTCAGCTGGCTGGGTTTTATAAAATCACAAATACTATAGAAATATGCAGCTAATTCTTGCACATGCACATTAGATATTCCTCAGAGCAATATTCACTGCCAGTCTGAAGCACAGCAGGATTGAAGAAAAAATTGAAGAAAAAAATTGCTCGTAACTATCATGAAAGAATTTCAGAGTCTGGTAACGTGACCAGACAGAAGAATTTTATTGCTACTGAATGTGGTTAAAGATATCTGAATATCAAATACATCAACAAAAACAGAGGAAAGGTCAACGAGAACAGTGTGTTTATTGAATAGTGTCAATAACCAAATCTTTAAAGCTTAAAGGAATGAAAAATACTTAATTGTGACAAGAGCATTTGAAACCAAGAAATACTGATCTGAAATGAGGTACAGCACTGGAGGCAATGAGAACAGAACAGAATTTGTACATCAAAAAAAAAATCCACAACACGAGATTAAAAAACAGGAGAGCATATCTAGTTCAACTATGTTTTCATATTTTAGATTCAACTTATAAATCTTACAATTTATAATTTGCTTTTTAAAACTATAAAGTACTTTCCCATCACCAGCATAAAATCTCTGTAACATAGTAAAATATATACTTATATCACTGCTCTAACTAAATATGGTTAAACACTTATAAAATCCTCAGATTCACAACATGAGATTACCATGCCATATTCAGCATCACATACTAAATACACAGAAAGATCTATATTCCTCTTCTTTAATATACCGAGTCCTTTGCTAGAAAATATCAAACATCAACATATATACAAAATCTGGCACAAATATTTCTTACACTGCATAAGAGTGATAATAATAATAATAATAATGGTAATTATGAAGTTCATTTGACAGTAATAATTACACCTTCACTTGGCTACAAAACAAAGAATTTTATAGCTTAAAAAAAAAAAAATCTTTCTTTGTATTTTCTTAAAAACTATACAAATGGCACCAAAATGTGAAGAATACATCATTATTTCTCTTCTCGGTTATAGCATGGTCAGTTGACCAAGTTTGGAGCATTTCCACAGTTGTAATAATAATAATAGATGGAAGACACCAAGTCTCTTTGGACGTAGTTATTTATTCACATCCATGAGATTATGCAATGCTATTGAATGGTAATTCACTTTTTCTCAGAATGGTAAAAGATACACATGTCAAGTATTTTTGCATACATACATTTCAACCCACAAACATTATCAATGCATGAACACGCAAACACATACATACATGCATGCACTTGTGCATACAAACACATGCACACACACACAAACGCACACAAACACGTACATGAACACACAAACCCACACAAACGCATGCACACGCATACACACACGCACATGCAGACACTCACACATACATACATGCACACACACAAATACAAACTGAAAGAATTTGATCATAAAAAAAATGAATCAACATCATATACACTGCATGCTCTCAATCATATTGAAACATTCTTGTGTCCAATATAATGCTTTAAGAGTACAAATGCAAGTCTAAGTATGAAAGAGCACATTTATAAATTGCCTGTGCTTCTGTGCCTGTAAGAAATATTGTGACATCTAAAGAACACTGAAGCATGAATAGTTTGGAACAATTCAATAATAAAAAAAAAAATGAATGGCTGACTTCTACATTAGCTTGTGCATTGTACCAAAATCCTTGGAATTGGCAAAAATGAAGAGCACAGCACATTATTATTTCATCTTGCATTGTGAGTAATAAATTTCCATAAGACAATTAGGAACTATTACTTCAAGTATGTGTGACAAAGTGCCTATGACACTATGATCAAAGGACACGTGGAGTTAGATACAGCCTCCCAGCTGATCATAAATGTGAAAGCAGCCTCATATATGACAGAACTTGAAACTGGATAATAAATACATGGTGCTAAAATACCCTTCTAAAAAGCACCTACATTTGCTGTTTATATCTACTGGTATCTTATATAAATAGAAATCAGCAACATTACCTGTTTGAGGTGGCTTGGAATTTGTCAGAGATATGGATAGCATGAAGTCCTCTTTTCATTCTTTTAAAACAAAAATCTACACGAATAAAGAAAAGAAAAGTTGGAAAATGACGAACAAACAGTTTCATGCAAAGTGAATAAATTCTTAACTGTAATTACAGAAGCTTATTTGGAGGACTTGCTTCAATCATCTGGATTTTAGAACAACTGAAAATTCTTTGTTCTTTGGAACCTTTTCAGGTAATACAGGTACTGGAGTAAAAGAAGTAAATGTTGTGAGATGACGCTTCATAGGCTTCCATAATCAAATCACATTATATCAAGTAACATGTCATGATACAAATTTGCAAGTAAATATTTTGTGAATATACTTTCAATAATAATTTCTTGGGTATATGTTTGGCCTAAAGAAAAGTTCTATATATGAAGGTGTTATCCTTTTTTTTAAATTGTGCAAAGGAGTTTTCCCAAATAGCATACGGACATGCTGCAAAGTTTAAAATGGTTCTCTTCCATAGCACACATTCATAATAGATTTAAGTATTTGGAGGGGGGGAGAAAAAAAAAAAAAAAAGTTATAGTACTTTTAAATATAACATTTTCTTAATGTAATTTGACCTGAGGCATTTGAAAATGAGTGCAGACTTCCAGAGAAAAGTATGTACGTTTACCCACCACTCTTCTTTTGCTATCTACCCTCTAAGTATAGAGATTACAGTGAGCAATTGAGTACATTGTACAAACGCTGTTGGTTGAATTCTCTTATAATACCTATCATTCTCATCCAGTCCTGAGCCAATCACTAAGTTGCGCAAGTTACAGTAGTTTGTGCCAAAATCTATCACAGCATAGGACAATCCAGACACGCTCACCGCTATGAAAAAAGAAAAATTACCCTGTCATTAGCAAATTGTGCTAAAGAAAAAGGAATAAATATACAACAAAATCCATTCACTTTTTCATCTGTTCAATGCTTTAGTCTACTATACTGAGGGAAATAAAAACAAGATGCTTTTATGACCCTCCTTAAAATCTATCATACTGTCCATTTAGTAGTAAAGTCAGTCTCAAGGAGAAAGTGATATACTTTAAGTTTGTCATTTATCTAACAACCCATCTACTATATAATTCATAATCCAGTTTCACAAGTGACATCTCATTTTCTGGTGTTCAAAATCAAATAAGCACCAGTAGAGCAACAGGCAAAAGACACCTACCGTTACATGGCAGTTTCCACCGTTGGCATTCATGGTGAAGTTCAGCTTATCCTCAAACTTTAACAAAGGAGTTCTGTGCAAGCCTCGATAACGTTTCCATCTTCACCCAGGTACTGTGGAGATGCATGGGAAATTAAATATTGCAATCCTTGAAGTATGCCCAGGATCACATGCCATACAGCATATAATCCACACCAACTGTTGATAAGAAAGACCTTTCTTGCTAATTAGCTGAAGGATCTGTTTAAGCACAAAATGGAGTCTGATCAAGGAAAACAGTCTATTATCTTTAATTCAACATAACAAATGACAAATACAAACTTTGGAAAATGAAAAAACAGTGCTTCTGGGAAAAAAAAAAAAAAAGTGTTACATAGAGAAGGCAAGGAATGATCATAACACACATGTTCCTGTAAGTCAGGCCTAAAAGCCACACATCAGGAGATATACTACAAATGGGCTGCCAGGCACCCAAATCCAACAGATTAACATTCATAGGGAAAAAGTCCTTTAGACATTAATTCAACTCTTTTTTTTTTTTTTTACAATACCTCATAGCCGCACTGTTGTTTTGTAGAGCAGTCATCATGCTCCCAGGCCTTCATCTGTTCAATAAGCTTGGTCTTCACTGTTGTGCAGGACTTGCCAAATACCCTACAAGAAAAAAAAAAAAAAAACAAGCTTCATATACTTAGTTTATCATTCTTGAAAAATAATATGAATTACCAAGACTTGATTCTGTGCATTATTGCTGCACACCTAAAATTTCATCCTTGTTAACAATTGTAAGAATCATAAACTTTGTTTTCTTCATATCATTATACAAAATAAATAAAATAAAATCTGAAATCTGTAACTCCAAATAATAGCTGCAGGAAGGAAGGAAGGAAGGAAGGAAGGAAGGAAGGAAGGAAGGAAGGAAGGAAGGAAGGAAGGAAGGAAGGAAGGAAGGAAGGAAGGAAGGAAGGAAGGAAGGAAGGAAGGAAGGAAGAAGGAAGGAAGGAAGGAAGGAAGGAAAGAAGGAAGAAGAAGGAAGGAAGGAAGGAGAAGGAAGGAAGGAAGGAAGGATGGAAGGAAGGAAGGAAGGAAGGATGGAAGGAAGGATGGAAGGAAGGAAGGAAGGAAGGAAGGAAGGATGGAAGGAAGAAGGAAGGAAGGAAGGAAGGATGGAAGGATGGAGGAAGGAAGGAAGGAAGGAAGGAAGGAAGGAAGGAAGGGAAGGAAGGGAAGGAGGAAAGGGGTGAGGAAGGAAGGAGGAAGGGGAAGAAAGAAAGGAAGGGGGAAGGAAGGAAAGGAGGAAGGAAAGGAAGGCGCAGGAAGAGGCAAAGTGAGGGAAGAGGTGAGGGAGAGGGTGAGGGTGAGGAAGACGGTAAAGGATGACAACAAAGAAATAGTTTGTTTAATAATAATAATAATAAAAAAATCCTTCAAAGCTTTACTTGAGTTTACTCTCAGCATTAAAAAAAACATGCACAATGCAACAAGTATTACAAAATAAAACTCAGCAACCTATAAAAAAAAACATCATAGAAGTTCAAAATCTTACCAGTTAACACGGCATGAGGCATGGCTTGGATATGGGAAGAAGGCACTAAAGAGACCTAAGCTAGCTGCAATAAACACGGCAGCCACAAGAAGCACACAGCAACAGAGCTTACATCCACAACAACAACCTGAAAATCACAATGTTAAGTGAACATTCAACAGCAAATTATTTAAAGTGAATAACAAAAAGCATCCACATACAAACTGCTATAAGAATGTCAAAGTAAACAATGTCAAATTAAACAAAGTAAAAACATCAACATTACCTATCTTAAAACATATATATCATAGAATATTCTATGATATTATACATCATTATATATTATCTATTGTATACTATTACCTATATCAATAGACATATACATATTATATAATATGTATGTAATTATCTACAATATATATAATAATACACAATATATTACAAGGGATCTGTAAATTAGTTATCTATTTAATCCTTTTGATCACACAACAAAATTTACTTTTTGTAATTTACTTACGAGGTTTTAGATTCCAAACTTAATACAAAAGAAAAGCATCAAATCCACCAATAATCAAAATGGAAATATATCAAAAACTTCAACAAATATAACAACTGTCAATGCATTAAAACAGAAAAGGTACCAATCTTAATCACAATACATATAACCATTTGAAAATTCCTCCAATTTATCAAAAAATTTAGAAGTTAGAAATCAAGTTCCACTAATCTGGAGAAAATTAGAAAAATGGCTATATACATTCAAAATCAATACCTATAAAGCTCATATACAGACATGATGCAACTATTACATCATAAAAAAAAATTTGGCTGAGTGTATGTGTGTGTGTGTGTGTGTGTGGTTGTTGGTGTTGTGTGTGTGTGTGTGTGTGTGTGTGTGTGTGTGTGTGTGTGTGTGTGTGTGTGTGTGTGTGTTGTGGTGTGTGTGTGTGTGTGTGTGTGTGAGGGGGGGGGCAGGAGGACTTGAACATGTCATTATGGAAAATTTGGCTGTTTGCCGGGTTGCCATAAACATACTGCTGTGAAAATTTTGGCTTGCGTGATGGGAATGACTCGCCCCGGGTGTCCAAAGTTCTTGGGAGGGCGATTTGACTAGGGAGTGGTTTTTACATTATTTCGATCATTAAACAAATATGGAATGTACCATCTGAACCAGCACTGGAAGAGCAAACAGTTCCTGAAGGACACCTTTGGCATGCTCAGGATCCTATTCCTGTCCAGCATGACCATCAGCACAAGTTGTATTACGGAAAATCTAATATTGTAAAAAAAATTAAATGACAAAAAATAAGCGTTATTGTTATTATTACTGCACCAAGTTACAGACTAACTAGAGGAGACGACATGGAGTCTGTGCAAAGACAATATTACCATCTGGATAAAGCAAATCAAATGACAAATATAAGTACTGGAAAATGGTAAAAAAACTAATAACATTACAAAGGGGAGGCATAATGTCCTATCAATGATACAAGTGTTTGTGTGCCCAGCCTACAAAGCCAACAACTGTAAGAATGGCCACTGAAAGTAATTATTGCCCATACTTAAGGCCACGTGATGGCAGTAAAGCTTCTGGATCCACCGATATAATATAAGAAGAGCAAGCAACTAAGCACAACAGATAACACTGGATCAACAAAATAATCAAACTAGAAATTATAAATAAGAAGTTAAAATATAACAAATAAGCAAGTATAATCCTGGGTATTAATTCAAGGAAAATAGTAAATTACAAAATATAAATGCAGAGGAGTAAATTTGAAACTACATATGATATTATAACCAAGACTAGTGTTGTAGAACCACATACAAGATACCATTACTCACACATGTCTATGCTAATAAGTAATAATAATAATAAAATCACAGGAATATTTTTAAGACGCCACAAGAAATGCAACGACGAAATCCTGATTTCGAAACTTCTATTCTTTAGAAATGATAATCTTTTCCTCTTTCTTACAATTATTTCTCTAGTCACATCTCACTCTTGTATATCTAAATACATCTATATATATATCACCAATAACATTTTCTCACACATTTTTAGACGATAACTTTCCAAACGAAGAATCCAGTAAAATCCAGTATGACAAGAAGAAGAAATGCACGTACTGCATTGATGATGTCAACTGCGTTAACAAAGACACGCATTAAAAAACCTCTGCAAATTTAACACACATCCCTCACAACATCTAACTTGACATCCCTTTAAACTCCGTAAATTCACAAAGACATGTTACCATTTTGAGCTTGGTTTGTAGTGTCAGGATCTCACGAAAGGGGCGGAAGTGAGAGGATTAGAACACTATTATGTGCATCCTGCGTCGTCGTGAGGCTTTCCTGCATCAGCTGATTCCAAACAATGACGATATGTTATTTTCATGATTTTTTCATCTTACTTCTGAAAGCTGTCTACTTTTTATCTTTTCCTAAGTGTGATTATTTATCGCTGTTATTTAGAGGGTATCTTATTATATATTAATTAATTCCGTGTTTTGTTGGATCGTAATGTTTTTTTTTTCTTATTCATGTGCTTGATTTTATTCGTTTTATTTTCTAAGATTCTTAAATTATTTGTTTCTTTTACTTTATAGCAAATTAAACCTAACTTTAATTATTTCCATGGAGGGAAACAAGAGTAAAAAATAAATATACGGGTTTGCAGGTTGCCCCATTCTTTTTAACCAAGTGTGGTAGTTACGGAATACTCCTCCTTCACTGCTTATATAGTAATAATAAAAATGACAGGTTTAAATGTGGCGAAAAGAGAGAAAAAATAAGTGATAGACACCATAATATATCTTCCCCAATAGTGAATTTAGCAATATTCTCTATATAAAATCTACAGATTTCTACAAACCTGAAAATAATTAAACGAGCCAACAAAATTTAAAAATTACAATTTATCACGAATAAAACCCAATAAGAAGGAGAATTCTATCTTGCGCATACCGACCCTCTTTTGTTTCGCCGCCATCTTAGTCGACGCATGCGCAGACGCTTGTTTCTTCAGGTCTTTCCAGTGCATCAGCCTCAACCATGCCACCTAAAAGTGAGTTCTCGGCATATTTTTGCTGAAATTAACGATTTTAAGGGTTTTATCCCGGAATGGCAGTGGTGAGCAAGAGGAAGAGGGTTTTTGCAAGGTATAGTGCGCCGTGTATGTGAATATAGTGGAAATTCGCAGAAATAAGTGATAATTAGGACTGGGGAGAATTGAAGCTCCACGTGTTGTTGGTGTTTGTGTTGGAGACAGTGTGATGTGCTAATGTCATTTGTAGTCTTTATCGGAAGGCTTTTCATTGTACGATTAATTACCGCATGCATGGCAATTTTCATTGACGGTGTCATTTCTTAATCACGAAAATCGTAGCACTTTAGACCTAAAAGTTTGTCGGCTTTAGGCACGCTGAGCAGAGTTGCTAGTCTACGGCAAAAAATGGAGAAAAATACATTTAATGTGTGTATACCAAGATGATCTTTGTACGTTAGTTAATATCTAAGAAGTTCCACGTAAAGCCTAGCGGTGTGACGAAAAGGGACCATGTGTGCGTTCGGGGAGTGAAGATTTGTTTAGTTTATCTAGGGCTTGGGACAGTTTTGGTACCGTTTTATACTGCTGTACAGATGTTTTCTACACATTAAATACGTTTTGGGATTCAAAGGGTAGGGTAGTGCAAAGGGATTACGATGAACGAATCTTGGTGTTCGCTGTTGAGGTCTGACACTGGTGTAGGCCTAGGTGCCATGTATGTTGGTAGCTTAGGTTTTGGTGACGAGTCCAATGGTTTCCTGGGTTTATTTAAGCCATGAACAATTGGGGCTTTTGCTAATCGTCCTTGAACAATTGAAGGGCACAGTACCAAAGTGGTGACTTTGTAAACAAACCTTCCAATATGGCTTCCAGATTAATTGGTTTCTTTTCTGCAAAGCAAATCCAGGCAATTCTTTTCATTTAATATACAAGCTTTTCAGCTGGACTCCATTTCATGCCTGGGATGCCCAAGGAGGCAATATACCGCACACCTACAAAATTATTACCAGTAAGGCCAGGAAAGTGCTGCTCACATCCAAAGTCCACTTAGTTCTCTCAAAGTTTCAGCTGTTCTTGCCATGCATATGAGGTGAAATTTCAGCTGTCTTACCATGCATATGAGGTTGAAAACTGTTTTCCAGTTGGTGTTAGGACTCTCCATTGACTGTCTCCTTGGGCAGTGCCTGAAGAGCATGCTCAATCACAGCAACTTAAATTGTGTAATAAATTTTATGGCGTGGAGTTCGGTACTGTCTTGCATGAGTGCGCCTGTACGGTAAGAATTACAAATTTAATCAACATCCAAACTTTGTCTCGGGTATGGTTTTTTCAAAGGGCATGGATTACAAAGTAAAATTTGCCAATAATGGACAGAATGACCAAAAATACTTTCTTATTTGGTGTTTCTTTTGCACGTTGATATTGAAGTTGTGCAACACGTAATACTTTGGTATACATTTTCTGGAAAATGTAATGGCATTGTTGTAAAGAGAAACTATATTCCCTAATACATGAAACCTCTGTAGGCAAAAATGTCATGGCAAATGTTGCACGCAGAGGAAGTCCACAATGATGAGTGGGGTCCAAGGCGGAGTCCCTGAAAAGGATGTATGGCAGTTGTATGGGAGTTTGGGGCAAAGCCTTTTGGTTAGCTTTATGATTTATACAGCTGTTTGAGGATTTCCCATAAATGGTTGGAGGAATGGGGATCAATCATGGAGAAGGGTCACTTTTTGTAAATGCCAATTTTTTTCACATTTGGGATGGAAAATAAGATTTATGCATATCACAGTTTTGATAATTGAAAGAAGATATGAGTATTGCAAGAATTAATGGCTGAGTATCAGAATACTACCCTGGGGCCCCAAGAAGAGGGAAGCACAAAGTAGTTAGGCTTTTATTAGCAATCTCCTTTAATTTTTCCTTTATTTTGATGTTGCCGTTCGAGGCTGATGCACAGAGATAGGTGGAAATGGACACTACCATCTTATAAAGCATAAGAAAGTCATATAGAACATAGGTACAGCTGCTTAGTTCTCATATTTACCACAAAAATAAATATCTGGTGCATATCACCACTCGGAAACTAATTCCACAACTCTAGCACACATTTAGTTCTTAATGTCTATTTCGCAAAGTTGGCAGGAAGAGCTAATAAAGCAGGGGTACATGGATGAATGAAAATTTATAAAAGTAGGGGTTTTAGTCTGACAGGTGCAGTGTGTTGCAAATTTATACTTTAAATTTAAATCCAGGAGGAATCTGGTATAATTTGGTAAGACTACATCAGTTAGAAAGTCAATTAATGAACTGTTAAAAACGTTACCTCCAAAATTGCCGCATTAACCAAAAATCATCTCATCTTGGTGGCTTCACCCCCCAGAGTAAATGTTTTCCTAGCCAGAGCCCTGAGCGCCTCTTTCCAAGTGCCATTTTCGCCATACAATCCTTTTGCATACATTAACTGAATTTTTTGTGGTCTTGAAGACAGGGGTTTGTCTATTGTGATAAGAAATTTATTCTACAATCTAACTTTCCAAACACCCTTCAACAAACTTCATTTCATTATACAAAGCAAAATAGTTAACTCAGGAGCATTAAGTGGACATTATTATTTATACTGACAGCTGCAATGTTTAACCCTCTACAAGAATGTATTGATGATTTGCCCAAGCTTTGTGCATGCATACAGGCACGGTAAAGATTACTTTATGATTGAGTTTGATGGGAGTGTAATACAGTTTAGGTGGGAAGCATAGCAAGAAAATTAAGCCTTTCTTTGGGAGACACTTTGGATTGGGTCTAGAAAACACCCTTTGAAATATCAAGTCTTGTCAAGATATTTGGTAGATGCAGAAATGAGAACTAAATATTTAAGCAGGTAGCACATATTACTAAGATCTTGTATATTTTTTTAAAAAGGCATTATATGGTCAAAATGGTACATTAGATCATCTCCACAATTTGAAAATTGGTAGATTCTATCAAGTATGGTGAGTTAGTGTGTCTGTGTAGATTATTTTGGGGCTATGGCTATGGAATGAGATAATTTTGTGAGGTCAGGCCCAAGTAACTTGCGTCTATTTTTTTGGACCTTGGTTTACCTGGACCTGTAGCTTCTTGGGAAAGTAATTATAGTAAGATGAACCCTATCCATGTTGACAAATGTAGAAAAGGTATGAATGAGACTGGATATCTTCACAAAAGATGTAATTGACCGGTTTCGATTGCATCTTCATCAGAAATACATGTATTTCTGATGAAGACGTAATTGAAACCGGTCAAATACATCTTTTGTGAAGATATCCAGTCTCATTCATACCTTTTCTATATAATTATAGTAAGTTGAATTATGAATAAGGATCACTCACAATTGCTAAAACCCAATGTAAACTCTGGAAACCAACTGTGAAGCCAATATTTTTGAAAGTTCTGGCGATTTATAATTTGCTTTGTAGAATGTAGATTTGCCTTATTCTTGACCATAAACAAGGGCCTAATAGTTTAATACCATAAGTCAATCTGAAAAATGCTTTCAAAGTTAATCAGTAATATTCTAGAAATTCATTTGCTGAAGTATCTCAATTTATATTCCAGCTTGATTAGCTATGGTTCATGTTAGTTTAACCTTTAGATTTTTAAGTGCTGAAAGGAAAAGAAAAATATGAATATTTTTTTCAGAGGATAAGCCTGCGGCTGCTGCTGGCGCTAAGAAGCCAGCACCAGCAAAGAAGCAGAAGGTTGCAGCTGCCCCCGCTAAGAAGACTGCACCCATTAAGGGAGTTGCCAAGGCCCCAACAAGAATGTGAAGAGACTAGGAGGCAAGGACCCTAAGAAGGGCAAGGGTGGAGC